TGCACCACCACGGTCCAGCTAGGAGACAGTATTGTGTTTTGGTCTGGGTCAGATGTGGGGCTGTAAGATTTCCCATCTTGAGGCAGTGATGCAGCAACAATAAAGGACCAAAGAGGATGAAATCCCTGGCCGGACTAGAGACCTAACATTTCTGTTAGGTGGGCCAACAACCTGGCTCCAGAACCACCTCTGGGAAGGCAGATCACCTGAATAATTATCCCTTTAGTGAGATAATGTGCCTTTCCTTCCCAGGATACCCATCCCAGAATGGTAGTTTGCAGGGCTGCACGCATGCAGTTTCATAAGCCCAAATGGACACTATCCCACTCAGCGTGTGGCTCTGGCAGGCCCTGCCCTTCTCCCCATTTCCCTCTGCCTTGCTAAAAACCATTAGATTACATTCCTGAAGCTAGCAGGGTCTATTCCCTTATTTGGACTGTCCCTCCCCCTGAGGCTGAATACCAAGGTCCAGCTATCAAAGTATTAAAGTCCGGCAATCAAGAGACCGATTTGGCTCGCCTAATTAACATGCCAAGTTAAAATTAAACACCTCATCCTAACGCCGGATTTTCCCTTGTACCTTTATAAACCGTCATTTTCCTACAAGCCATGCCTGTTTCCTCTCTGTTCAGTGGCAGCCCTTTGTCTCCTTCCAGGACAAACACTCTCACCGCTTTCCAAGGTTCCTTTCTTTTTTGTTTTTCAGAATGACACATGCTGCTGTGCCCCAGCCCTGCAAGCTGCTGCACTAGGGACACGGGTCATCTTTAAAGAACCACTAAATTATGATGTCTGTCCCTTTATCACGGCCTAAGGTGGGGTCTCTCTGGGATGTTAGGCCTCCACCTAGGCCAGAGATTTCACCATTTTTTTTTACTCTGACTCCCACATCATACACAAACAATAAACAAAATTTTTTAAAAAATTAAAAATCCCTAGGGGTTCGGAAAAAGAAAATAATTGGGTGGTATAGGGTCCCCACCCATTCTGCAACTGGCAGAGTTCTTCCTTGTGTGACAGGTTTTCTTCTCTGAGGTTAGCTTAGGCTTCTGCACTCCTGCTCAACACACTGATTTTGCAAATGGGAAAAGGTGAGGGTGTCTTTCTCTTCCACTGCGGCTTCAGGTTAGGGCCAAGGCTGAACTGCCTCTTCCTGAAGGTGAGCTTGAGTTTTATTTCATATTAAGAAGAAAGGACACAGTAGGAAAACTTGCCTGGAAGCTCAGATTTAAATGCCCAAGGGTGGGAGTGGAGCCCACTGATAGAATGTAAAGCACTACTAAAGGAAAAAAAAAAAAAAGCAAAACTCAAGGCAGGTTAGAATTCTAAATATGGTTAAACCTTGCTTTTCACAGAGTTCAGGGCTCCGGAAGATTCGGGGATCAGATCAGTATCAGTGAGGAATTAATTTTGCTTTCCTCCTCCCAAGAGATGAAAGCAACTCGTGGAGAAGGGGGGAGGGGGAAGGACAGGTGAGGGGGGCAGGGAGAGAGGTCGAGGAGAGCTCGAGATTCTTTTCTTTTCTTCCCATTCAGGGATGTTTTGTGTAGCCCGGACCGTCCTGGAACTCGCTCTGTAGACCAGGCTGGCGTGGAAGAGACCCTTCCCAACAACAAAGAAAAGGCGGCTCCCCTCCCCCTGTCAGAGAAGGGCTTGGCTTTGTGTGGCTTTGTGTGAGCCGACTTCCTCTGGGGGCTCCTCCAGGGAGTCTCAAGCCTGGTCCCTGCCTTAGTTTAGTAACCTTTGGTTCAGTAGTCTAGCGTCAAGCGGGGAGATGTTTGCCTGCATTGTATCCAACTTTTCAGCTGCTCTGTTCTTGTATCTTCTCTCTGAAGGACACTTACAACAGAGTAACAGGGAGGCATCCCCTCCTTCCTCTCTGCAGATAAACAAATGTCAAACATCTTCCTGGGTTGCCCCATTCACTAAAAGTTACTAAATATCCCCCTTTGTCCTCCAAACAAAGAACTCCTGGTGTTCATCTGGTTGGATCCGGATTGGGAGGGCTGCAGCCCAGACGCTCACCTGTGGGACCTACTAACCCAATCTTCTTTCTCTTGCTGTTGGGTTCCTAATGTGTTTTTCTGGCAGTGCTGTTGTGAATGAGAGACTATAATGAATGCTTCCCAACAATGGGCTGTGATGGGAGAAGCAATCTTCATGTCAAACTGGGAACCAGCACACACCATCATTCTTTTACTTCTTCCTTTTAAATGGGCTTTTTTTCTTTTACTAAATTTGTTCTTTAACCATTTCATATAGCTGGGCGTGGTAGCGCATGCCTTTAGATCCCAGCACTCCAGGAGGCAGAGGCAGATGGATAAATCTCTGTGAATTCAACCTCAGCCTGCTCTACATACTGAGTTCCGGGCCAGCCAGAGTCATTCGATGAGACCCTGACTCAAACAAAACCAGTGTATTCTGATTACGGGTTATACCCATCCTCTCTATTAACCCCGGGCCCCCAGAACGCCCTCCATTCAAATCTCTTCCCCACACTTATGCCTATTAGCTCTGTTTTGTGGCCCACTGAGTTAACCAGGCCTGCCTTTGTGACCACAAACCGTTTGCTATTTTTCACTAGAACGCGGTGCACTGCTTAGCTACACAGCTAAAGACAATGCCCGCCCCTCCCCCAGACAGCATCTGTGGCTCAGAGTTCAGCAGGAAGTACGGCCTCAAGGGCCTTCCGGGATCTTGCTGACAGCTCTGGTCAACGGCCTAATTTCAGGTACAAGTGTCCTGTGGCTGCGCCCATCTGTGGGTCTTCATTCTCTTACTGGAAGTAAAACGAAGTTGTGTGAGATTCTAAAACTAGCAATCGCTGAGTGGAAGGCGCCTGCATTGAAAGTGGAGCTGTATTTGGCATCACCCTGCAGGGTTCCCGACAAACAGGCAGGCTCAAGAGCAGGTGGCAACCCGTCATCTTTCTGCCGGCTTCAGCCATAGGGGGAATAGGTGGTACCACAATCCACTCTTCCAGTGGATGCTGATGACGTGTTCTAAGGAGATGAGTGCAGGGGCTCCTGTCAAATGAGTGAGGAGAGAACGGAAGTGGGGAGAGGAGGCGGGACTCCAGAAACCTCACCACCGCAGCGTCCCTAGAATAAAAATGACAGGCAGAAATGATTAGCGCATCCACTTTAAAACGCAACCCCCTGCTCATATTTCAAGCTTGCCTTATAACCCCTTTTAGTATTTGGCAAGTCCCATTGATATAGGGTAAAATAAAATTAAAGTGGACCCCTATCAGGTTCTGTTTTCCATTCTCTACATATAGGGTAAAATAAAATTAAAGTGGACCCCTATCAGGTTCTGTTTTCCATTCTCCTCCAGCTGTATTTGGCATCACCCTGCAGGGTTCCCGACAAACAGGCAGGCTCAAGAGCAGGTGGCAACCCGTCATCTTTCTGCCGGCTTCAGCCATAGGGGGAATAGGTGGTACCACAATCCACTCTTCCAGTGGATGCTGATGACGTGTTCTAAGGAGATGAGTGCAGGGGCTCCTGTCAAATGAGTGAGGAGAGAACGGAAGTGGGGAGAGGAGGCGGGACTCCAGAAACCTCACCACCGCAGCGTCCCTAGAATAAAAATGACAGGCAGAAATGATTAGCGCATCCACTTTAAAACGCAACCCCCTGCTCATATTTCAAGCTTGCCTTATAACCCCTTTTAGTATTTGGCAAGTCCCATTGATATAGGGTAAAATAAAATTAAAGTGGACCCCTATCAGGTTCTGTTTTCCATTCTCTACTAAGAGTTGTCTAAAACGACAGTTATAAAAATCAAACCCATCCTTTTTAGCTGTTGGAAGCATTAAAGCCCTCAGGGACATTGCCTTCCCAAACTATAGCAGGCATCAGCTTTCTCTTCCCAGCACAAGGCCGGCTCCGGCTAAGTACCTAGCTCTTCTTGCTTAGGGAAGAATAAGCTCTCTGGAATGAGCAGGGTCCACGCCCTGCACGCAGCTGCCCAGATCGGTGCTCTTTACCACCGTGACCAGCAGGCGGCGCTGTCTGAACGCTGCGGCCACCGCCCGGCGTCCGGGCCGGGGGGGGGGGGGCGCCCGGCCCAGGCCCTGCCTTGGGAGTCACTGGGCCCGTTTGTTTTAGTTTCTGAAACATCCTGCCTTTTAAAAATATTATTTTTTATTCCTTTAGCGTTTCATACATTTATACAACTGTATTGATCATATCTGTCCACCACTACCGTCCTCACATTTTACTTATTTACTTATTTACTTATGTGTGAGCCCTGGGCCTTGTGCACAATAGCCAAGGATTCTACCACTGAGCTGTGTTCCCAGCCCCAGTGTGCGCTCATGACAATTGCTATTATTTGAAAACGTGGGCAAGCCAAATGGTTCAGTGGACAGACGTGCGTACAGCTCAAGCCCTGCTAATTGAGACTGATTCCTGGAACACACTTGGAAAGAGATTACTGATATCTCAAGTAACGGTGGCGCTTTGCCTTCCACATGTGCTCCCACTCAGACAGACAGACAGACAAAAAAGTTGCCCCGGGCTTTCAAAAAGAGGGGATCGGGACTGGAGTGATGGCAGAGTAGCACAGAATTCTAACTGATCTTGCTGAGGGACCAGGTTCGGTTCGGTTCCCAACACCCACCTCCTCGTGGCTCACAGCTACCTGTACCTGGAACTAGCTCCTGTAGACCAGGGTGGTCTCGAACTCACAGAGATCCTCCGGCCTCTGCCTCCCAAGTGCAGGGATTAAAGGCGTGCGCCACCACCGCCCGGCTGAGGGCATTTCTAAAAACAAAACTAATGCCTCCGGGGTTAAGAGCACTGGCTGCTCTTCCAGAGGACCCCGGTTCAACTCCCAGCATCCACGGGGGTGGCTCACAACAATCTATAATAATAATATCTGGTACCCTTTTCTGGAATACAGGCAGAACACTGTATAATAATAAATAATAAATCTTTTTTATAAATAATAAATCTTAAAAACATTTTTTAAAAGTTTCCTTGTTTTGTTTCCAGCCTTCTGCAAGCTGGGCATGCACAAGACCTCGAGAAAATTCAGCTGTGCTGCCATCTGCTGGACGTTTAGAGAGATGCTGCAAGAACCTGTGGGTTGAACAAGGTTGGCAATGAAGACCTAGCTTTTCACCCAGAAAATAGCGCCGAGACAGTATTCACATGCAGTCTGCTCATCCAAAAACAAACAAGCAAACAGAAACTACCACGCCCACCGGCCCTTTGGGAGAACATAGTGTTTGTGTTGGGAAGCACTCGGATCTGAATGCTCTGGGATTGGTGGTCACAGGAAAGCCCGGGGCTACAATATGGAAAGAGGCAGAATTCTCATTAACACACATCCAGATTGGGCACTAGCTGAAAACAAAATCCTTGTTTTCCATCACTGCTCACAGGGGAGTATCAGGGACAGAAGTTATAGGACCCCTATTCTCCTAAACGGACTGATTTTGCTGAATGGAAAATTTTAAAAGGTGAAAGGGCGACATAAATAAACGTCAGTCTGGGAGCTGGAAGGTGTTCAGATGTAGCCTTGGTGGGGGTTGATATGAGGACGCGAAGCCCTGCCACCGTTTTCCAACTTCTTGAGTCAGTTCTGATTCATTTGAAGAGTTTTCTTTTTAGGAGCCACAGACCCTTTTCACAGGAGGGCCTGAACCCATTTGCAAACACATTTATAGATGTATTTTCAAATAAACAATGTTTATTTGAAACAGTCCATTCAACATTGTTGCAATTCCTCTACAATGCACATTCAGAAGCCTCTTGGGGAACTGGCCAACAACAGAATGAAGATCAGAGTAGAATTGGCCCACCCACCTGGGAAAATCGGTTCACTGCAGAAGCCTTAGTAATGGAAACACATTAACAAAACAATAACTCTGACCTCAAGGAGCCTCGTAGATACTTTTAACAAAACTAGTTTCTGTATTCTGCAATGAGCTTTTAGTGGTTTTTCTGGAAGAGATGAAATCACTTGATCAACCGTGTGGCCTGCTGGAGGCTGGCTGATTACAAAATCCTTGGGGTCCATGTCAGATGACTTCCATAGTCAATCAGTATGTTCTAAGGGCATCCTACATTTCTTCAATAACTAAGTCCTCAAGGAGGAGACTGTCTGGTCCTACTGCTAGAAGTCATAGCTCTCTCCAGGGGTGCTTAGAGAAGATATTCCAGCAACCAAGAAAACAGAATGAGAAATAAATAAAAGTCCCCATAGCAAGTCCTGGATGGACTGACTGTGTGTCAGAAAATGAGGAAATCGAGTGTGGTTTTATTGATTTGTTTGTATTTTAAAACTTTCTGTGTAGCTCAGGCTAGCCTCAAACTTGAAGCAACATTGCTTCAGCCTCATGTGTGTGTGTGTGTGTGTATACATATATACAAATATATGCACATATCTTGTCTAATCATATAAATTATGCACTGATACTCTCTTGTACCATGCACATATCTTGTCTAATCATATAAATTATGCACTGATACTCTCTTGTATCTATTCTAGTATCTATTCTAGTTATCGTATAGAGGGCAGTAAATGCAGTAATTTACTGGAGTAATGGCTGGTGTGGTGGTGTGGAAGAAGAAGGAGGGAGCAGCTAGAGGCAGCCAGAAAAATTGAAAGGGGGAAAGATAATCCTGAGAGCCAGGAACACTCAGAAAACTAGCACTATTTCAGCTGATGGCAAGAAGTTATAAAAGGAATGGAAACCCTCGGGGGCGTTCAACTGTAGGCTGTCTAGGTGCCTTCTACATATGGGAATAAATACAATTATTAAATAAACATTGCTAGTCAGGCAATGGTGGTGCATGCCTTTAATTCCAGCACATGGGTGGCAGAAGCAGGCAGATTTCTGAGTTCAAGGCCAGCTTGGTCTACAGAGTGGGTTCCAGGACAGTTAAGGCTACTCAGAGAAACTCTGTCTCAGAAAAACCAAAACAAACAAACATTGCTGTAAGTAGAAAAAGATTTGAACATTAGAGTATGGTATACTTACTGGAATAATAATGAAGACAACTGAAAAATGTGAGGTGTTCTTAATTTTCTTCAGCAGAGTTTTACCTGTGTACCCTAAAGAGACTGGGAGCAAAGGGGTTTAGTTGTTGCTTTGTGATGTGGGCTCAATCCTAAGCCCCCTTACATGTTCAGCAAGTTCTCCACCATTGAATTCTATCTCCGGTGGGAATGGCTTTAAAAAAAAAAGAATTAATTTTTATTATTTATTCACATATCAAGACCTCTTTAGTATAATTGATTCCAGGATGGAAGTACCATTCAGGCCAATAGAACTCAGCATGTAGACAGTACCATCTGCCAAAACAAAAACACAGACATAGTCCATCAAAGTCTGTACATAGTTCTGGGAAAGTCTCTAGATGTACAAACCTTGCTTTTGGCTTCTGTAGTTCTGCTTCTAGCTAACTGTTCTTGTTAATTGAAGTATGTCAACCCAGAACATGGTTTTTGTGCTTAACCGTTCACCCTGAGAAAGGCTCAGTTTTACAGTAGGATCCCAAACATCCAGTTTAGTTGCCAGGCAGTTAAAAAAAAATGTGTTCTATTGTCCTAAGTCCGTCTTCTCTGATGGATACTCCACAACACTGCCTTAGCCTCCCTAGTAGCTGGCATTAGAAGCCTCTCCACCACGTCTGGCTTTGCTAGCTCCCTTCTGAGAAGAAACCACATACAATCAGCTTTCATCCCTAAAATTTCGTGATTTATTTCCAACAAGACATCATTTGGCTTAGTTCCGATCAGCCCTGTATCTCCCCAGAGTTCTTTTAAAAACTCTCCTCACAGGGACTGAAACAGTGCTTGTGAGACCCTGCCTCAGATAGAAAAATGAGAAAAAAATGAGCACAAGCCCACCTATCTTCTGATGTTTTGATAAAACACATATTTTGTATCACAATAAATAAATAAATATACAAATGTCATTGTGATGGTTAATGCTAATGGTTAACTTAAAAGAATCTAAAATCAGCTAGAAAATGAGTATGCCTATTGGTACACCTCTGGAGGATTATCTTGGTTGCTTTGAGGTGGGAAGGCCAAGCCATGCACGCGCATGCGCGCTGGCGTGTGTGTGTGTGTGTGTGTGTGTGTGTGTGTGTGTGTGTGTGTGTGTGTGTGCGCGCGAGTGGTCCCATTCTCTGGCTGGATCCTGGACTGTGTGAGTGGAGAGCAGGGACCGAGCAGCAGAGCAGTAGTCTGCTTTCATTGTTGTGCCCCCCAAACACACACTATGCATGCCATGTGACCCTCTGTTATAGTTCCTGTGGTCTGGACTTGTTGGGCATGATGGAGTGTTGTGAGGGTCTCTGCAAATATTGTCCATGGGAAGCAAGAAGAAAGTCTGCTTTAATATGACTCAAACATCTAGAGTCTGACACCAGGCTTTTATTTCAGGCATATTTAAGTACAATTCAATTTGGGAAAAGTTTCCTGGTGTAACACAATCCCATGTGCATAATAAAGCTTAAGGCATAAGTGCCATCGAAACTCTTTTCGAAGTTCAAGTCATGTCTTCCATAAAGATGTGTTCTGTAGCTAGGTGACATTTGTCATCTTGAGGGCCTGGGGGAGGATCTGATGTGGTCTCTATCCTACAGATAGGGCAGAGGTCATCTAGGCTACCAACATTCCCAGGCTTCTGGACCAAAATCAGGTTATACATTTCTTTTGAAGAGACAACCCTAGGGAGGCAGAGGCAGGCAGATCTGTGAATTCAAGGCCAGCCTGGTCTACAGAGTGAGTGCCAGGACTGGCTCCAAAACAATATAGAGAAACTCTGTCTCAAAAAACAAAAACTCAACAACAACAAAATTTAAGAATACCTGTCAAGCAGGTACTGAGTCCCAGGTTTGATGCCTAGTGCAACATAAGTCAGGTGTGGAGCATATGTCTGTAATGCTAGCCCTTGGAGTAAAGCCAGGGGAACAGTAGTTCAAGGCCATCCTCCACTATCTATAAACTTTGAGGCCAACCCATGATATCGGAGACTTCATCAAAACACAAAACAAATAAACAAAAAACCCAGCCTCAACCCCAGCAAAGATATACTATTAGAACACAAGATATTTGGTTATATTTGGCCTAAGAGATGGCTCAGCATTTAAGAGCAATTGCTGCTCTTGTAAAAATCCAAGGTGCCTTCCCAGTATATAGCGCCTGTGCTACAACTTCTTATGGGTTCAGGCGAGGGAATCTGAAAGTGGGTCATTCTTGCAAGGAGAATGCCATTTATTTCAAAGGAGAGGAGACACAGTGGAAAGTTACTCAGGTCATAGGTTCATGCCCCCCAAGCTCTCCCCCTCCTCCCTGGCAATAGGGATGGGCAGATAGTTTGCACTCTTACATTGAAGCCTAGTCGGAAGGAGGGAAACAAGGAAGTAAATACCTAGTCAGGGGACCCCAATGGGAAGGGCACAGGAGGTCATCCTTAGTCACCAGATGATCAGCTGACCCCAATGGGAAAGGACCCAACACCAGTACCGCCATCAGATGGCTCACAACTACTTTTTGTTTGTTTGCTTTTTGAGGTTTCCCTGTGTAGCTTTGGAGGCTGTCCTGGTCTTGTAGACCAGGCAGGTCTCTAACTCACAGAGATCCACCTGCCTCTGCCTCCCGAGTGCTGGGATTAAAGGCATGAGCTACCAACACAGGACTTCTACACAGAGTTTTTAAAAAATTTAAAATAAATCTTAAAAAAAAATTTGTTACACTTTTTTTTTTTTTTTTTTTTGGTATTTGAGACAGAGATTCTCTGTGTAGCCCTGGCTGTCCTGGAACTCACTCTGTGGACCAGGCTGGCCTCAAACTCACAGAGATCCACATGGCTCTGCCTCCCTTGTGCTGGGATTAAAGATGTGCACCACCATTGGCCCGTGCTGAGTCTTAAAAGACTGGATGAGGCCGGCCCCCAGCTTTGCTCATGTGATCAGCAGGAATAGGAAGACAGACATCCCAGAATGCCTGGCTGGAAGAGGCCTCAGAGAGGACGCTGCTGGAAACCCCGGGCCTGAGAGGAGCTCCTAGGGAAGCTACAAAGGGTCAAGTGGAAGAAAGACAAGCAAGTCTCCCATCTCTGTAATAACAAACAGGCTTATGGTAAGCTCTGGAAAATTTCAGTTACACAGTAAAATCAGCTAACTGTCCACCCAGGGTTATTTTTATTTGAATGCACTACCAGGATTTTTCTTTCAACAGATTCCAGCAGGGGGCAGCAAACATAAGCATGGATCGAAATGCTTACAATTATTTCAGTAGAAGTAGAAGAGTACTTTAAAACAGTTTATTTATTTTTTTAATTTTATTTATTTATTATGTATACAACATTCTGTTTCCATGTATATCTGCACACCAGCAGAGGGCACCAGATCTCATAGTGGATGGTTGTGAGCCACCATGTGGTTGCTGGGAATTGAACTCAGGACCTCTGGAAGAGCAGTCACTGCTCTTAACCTCTGAGCCATCTCTCCAGCCCAAAACAGTTTTTTTAGAAAAGATTTATTTCTGCTGTGAGTGTTTTGCCTGCAGGTATGAATGTCCACCATGCATGTGCCTGTTTGCCACAGTGGTCAGACAAGGGGGTTGAATTCCCAGGAACTGGGCATGGTTGTGAGCCATCATATGGGAGCTGGGATTTCTTCCCTGGGTCCTCTGCAAGGACAGCTAGTGCTCTTAGTGTAAGGATTCAGGCATTATGCTGGCCTGCCTCTGTTACCAGGCAGAATCCACTCAGGCAGTACCCTGGTCAGCCCAGGGTTCCATAGGAACTAAGTCTACACACAGGTGTAGAGGACCCCTTAAGAGACAGACCCTTGCCCACTTACACTCTCTTCTTTTATGCGCTCTCTCACTCTCTCTGCTCTGCTCTGTTCTTCTATTTCTCTCTCTCCTCCCCCCTCTCCCTCCCTATAATAAACTGGTTAATGTGCTCTCTATAGTTCCCAGGAGTCCATTTCTCAACCTCTAATTTAAGCAAAAACTTAACCCTTAGCTACTGAGAAATCTCTCCATCCCCAAATTCCATCTTAAAAGAATTTCCACACGACTAGACCTAGGTTTTTATCTTGTCAACCGTTAATCTTTTCCAATGAACCCCAGAAGCTGCCCTGTGATCTCATGTTTGAAAGGAGAGGAGGGGAAGGGAGCGGTGGAAAGGGATGGAAAGGAAAGGGGGATGGTGGCACACTCCCGCAGTCCCAGCACTTGCGAGCTGAGGGCAGCAGGGTAAATAAAGGCTAGCATCAG